TGTGGTACTGCTACCCTTACTTCTGCGCTGCTGGCCATGCCGCTGCCTTCAGAGCTGGGCAGCTGGAGAGCGGCGGCTGCTGGCAGGAACCCAGCTCTGAAGGCAGATCTGCTGCCAGCAGCAGCGCAGAAGTTAGGATGGCATTATATGATATTGCCACCCTTACTTCTGCGCTGCTGCCTGCAGAGTTGGGCCCTCAGTCGGCAGCCGCCACTCTCCGGCCGCCCAGCTCTGTAGGCAGCAGCACAGAAGTAAGGGTGGCAATACCACGAACCCCCTAAAATAACCTTGTGACCCTCCCCCCCAGCAACTCCCTTTTGGGTCAGGACCCGCAATTTGAGAAACACTGGTCTCCGTGTGAAATCTGTACAGTATAGGGTAGAAGCACACACAAGACCAGATTTCACGGGGGGACACCAGATTTCACGGTCCATGACACGTTTTTTGGTAGGGCCCTAGTTCTCACTCTCTGACACAGGCTCCCGTAAGCAGCATGGCCTCAGAACTTAGACAGACCCATGCTGATGACAACCAGTGGAGTGGGGGAGGTATTATGCACTTGTCTAGCGTGGATCTTAGCAACAAAGCCCCTTCTCCGCCAGCACTCAGGGGAAGGCGGCTGTAGCCAACCTGGCCTGGAGTAGGCCCATTACTACCCTGTCCCTGGGGTGAAAGGCGCTTGATCAGTGGGAAATGCTGTTTACCTTGCAGGAGATGGGAAAGTGAACTTCTCTGATTTTCTGACCATTGTCACCGACAACAAGCGCTTCATCCAGGCTGTAGGTGAGTGCGGTGAACCCAGCTCAGCCAATGGGATTGGCCACAGTGTCCCCCAGCGATGTCAGTGTGTGGCCAGAGAACCCCACTTACCTAGAGGCGTCAGTGTTACCTGAACCTTGGGGCGATCTGGAGTTCACGTGACGTGGACTCCGACATCAGCATCTGGGGTCCCCCAAAGAATGAGCTCGCGCACAGCTGGCCCCCGTTCGAAACAGCTGTACAAAGCCTTGACAGTCCAGCTCAGGGGGAGGAGGCCGCTGCTGACTGCCAGGCTGAGACCTGGGGTCACAGAGAAGAGTGCAGGCACTGGCACAGCTCCCCAAGGTAGCCTGGCTCATGGAAGGGGAGTGATGACGGGGAGCCCAGGAACCACAGGGCATATAAGCGGCGTTCAGATAGCCAGGGTGAGATCAATCAACGCTGTGCTCCAAATACTCAAGCTGAGACTCTCTGCCTGGAACACCGGGACCAAATCTGCCTCTTCCAAAGCGGAGGGGGAGCAGCATTCTCTGGAGATACTATGCTTCCTTGGGCGATGGGAGAGGGCAGTGAGAAGTACCCCTTGCCCCAGTGCACCAGGCAGGAGACATGCCCCCACACACGCGTACACCATACTTTGCCCAGAGGAAACCTTGTTGGAGGTCACTGGTGCTGACTGCGGGCTCTGAAGCAGATGGGTTGGTGGGGTGGGCGCTCTGATTGACGTGCATCTCCTCCCCAGCCCCCGAGAAAGGCAGCCTGGAGGACTTTGATTCCATCGACGCCACGGGAATCCTGCTCTTTGAGGTCCTGTCAAAGCTGGTGGAAATGTCGGCTCTGCCCCGGAAGGCCATGCTTGAAATAGTCAGGTGAGTGCTAAAAGCTCTAGCAAGGTCTCCAAAGAGGGGAAAGGAGATCTCCGTTTCATAGGCTCGGCGGAGTCAAACAGCGGGCTCAGGGCCAGACTTACAAAGGTATTTAGGCACCTAAAAATGCAGATAGGCACCTAATGGGGTTAACAAAAGCATCTAGGTGAGGTAGGCCCCTACTTTGATTGGAAGTCAATTGGAATTGGGCCTCTAACTCACTTAGGCGCCTAGTGGAATTTACAGTAGTGGTTATCTGCATCCTTCTGTACTTAAATACCTTTGTAAATCTGGCCCCAGTTCTTTAGGCACATAAGTGAGCAGTGTACCTGTGTAGACAAGGCCAGCCATATAAATGAGGACAAAACAGGGCCCTGTAGATATATTTCATACCTCCTCCCTCTGCCCCCTGGAGAACAAAAACACACCTGTTCTATCTGCCATATGGCACACACCAAAAAGCACATCCCTCTTCTCTACATAGCCCTTATGACCTTACCTCCAGATCACTGCATAAGCCTCCCAGTCTGTCTGCTTTCATCAAGCTGGAGCATTGTCCCCTGGCTCCTCCTTGGCAAGCTACACCCTTGCAGGGTATGAAAGACGAGGATGGCTGCAGGCTGTGCGAAGGAAATCTGTGGGCAGTGGGGGCCGACCTCTGGGCTA